GCATAAATTTGTAGGACAAAAAGCTAGATCATAATAATTTACAAGTGGTATTGGTCTATAAGTGGTGTCCACAAGTGGTAATGGTCCGAGAAAGAGAGGATAATGGATTATGGATTATGGATTGCCTATGTAATGGGGAGAATTTGTAGGAAGCAAGGCTTAAATCCATAATGCCATATGGGGACTTTTGCAAGGGCAAGATAAATGTTCAAGTGGTATCTTCTAGTCTTACAAGTAGTATCTTTTAGCATCAAATAACCTTGCCCCTCGCATTGCATCCTAGCAAGTAGATAGCTTTTAAATTGCAAATTTTTATTATTTGCTTGCTTTGGTCGTGTTGTCATCAATCACTAAAAAGGGAGAGATCGTAAGGAAAATGGACCCTAGGCCCATTTACTTTGGATTTTGGTGTTTGATGTCCAACACAGCCAAATTGGACTAATGAATTTGCAAATGTTTGTTTTGTAGTTAAATAGGGTGCAAGAAGTGACTTGGATGAAGGCGATGTGATGATCCAATGATCAACACCATAAGCAAGACCCTAGAAACACAAGACAAGACTCAAGATATCAAGCAAAGTTCAAGCACGAAGATAGGAAGCAAGCCGGACGCAAGATCATAAAGAAACGAGCTCACAGAGGTGACTGGACGTTAGACCGGACGCTGGCGAAAAGCAACCGGACGCTCCGATCAAGAGGCTCGGCAACAGGCGTCAGCAGTGTCGAGCTCGAGGCAGTGAGGACCATGTCATCGACATAGAGGAGGAGATAGGCCATGTCAGCTCCCCGGCGAAGAACGAAGAGGGAGGAGTCTGACCGGGTGGCCTTGAACCCAAGCTTGGTGACGAACGAGGCGAAGCGCGTGAACCAGGCGCGTGGCGCTTGCCACAGTCCGTACAAGGACTTGTCGAGGCGACAGACAGCCTGAGGGTTGAGGTGGCAGACAGCCTGAGGGCGATCAGGGTCAACGAACCCAATCGGCTGTTGACACAGGACATACTCTTCGAGGTTGCCGTGGAGGAATGCGTTGGAGACATCAAGCTGTCTTGTTGGCCACTGCTTGGACGCAGCAATTGTGAGCACGGTTCGTATGGTCGCCGGCTTGACCACCGGCGTGAATGTTTCCTGGAAATCCACCCCAACACGTTGTGTGAATCCGCGCACCACCCATCGAGCCTTGTAGCGCTCGAGTGATCCATCAGGATGAAGCTTGTGCTTGAAAACCCATTTCCCCGAAATCACGTGAGCGCCGGATGGCTTGTTGACAAGACGCTAGGTGCGGTTCGCCTGTAGAGCCTTGAATTCAGCATCCATGGCTTGCTTCCAGTTTGGATCGCGCAATGCTGTCCGAGCTAATGATGGAATAGGCGAGATGGTGGTGGATGCGGCCATGGCATAGCGAGGGTTGGGTTTGAACACGCCGGCGCGTGCACGAGTGACCATGGGATGGACGTTGGACAGTGTCTGCGTGGCGTGCGCGGGCACTGGAGATGCTTGTGTGGGAGCTGGCGATGCGTGTGGATTGGAGCTAGGAGCAGGCACGTCAGGCGACTGCACGGGTGTGTCCATAGTCGCATGCATCAGTATGGGCGTGGGCGTGACCACTGGACGACGGCGCAGCGACGCGACGACGCTTGGGACTTGTGTCCGACAGGATGAGAGGATCGTCGTCATTGGCGGCAGGGAGCGCACGCGCTGGCGACGTAGTGGCAGAAGATGGTGCTCGGAACGGGAAGACGAATTCGTCGAACACCACGTTGCGCGACGTGATGACGCGGCGGGTGTTGAGGTCAAGGCACCGATAACCACGATGATCAGTGGGGTAACTCAGGAAGACACAAGCACTGGATCGGGTGCAGAGTTTGTGAGCGGCGGTGGCTGTCTGTTTGGGGAAGCACAAGCAGCCAAAGACCCGGAGGTGAGTGTAGTTCGGTGGAGCACCCAGGAGTCGTTGGAACGGCGTCACCGGCACCGTGGCGTGGCATGGACGCCGGTTGAGAAGGTGAGTGGCAGTGGAGAGCGCTTCAGCCCAAAAGGAAAATGGCATGCCAGCGTGCAGAAGAAGGCTGCGCACACAATCATTCAAGGTGCGGATAATGCGTTCTGCCTTGCCGTTCTGAGCAGAGGTATATGGACAAGAAAGGCGAAAGGAGATGCCGTGTGCGGCGAAGTGCTGACGAACTACAGTGTTGTCAAACTCCTTGCCGTTGTCGGTTTGAAAAGAAATGAGGGGTAACTGAAATTGCGTCAGAACATAAGCATGAAATGAGATTAAACAGTCAGCAACTTCAGATTTGGTGCGCATTGGAAAGGTCCAAATAAAATGAGTACAAGCATCAATGAGGACTAGATAATATTTGAAACCAGAGTTGCTGGGAACAGGTGATGTCCAGACATCGCCATGTACAAGCTGAAAGGGAACATAACAGACAGAGGAAGAATGGGAGAAAGGAAGACGAACATGCTTGCCTAATTGACATGACTGACAAGTATGAGCTATGGTTTTTGTACAGGTGAAATCAAACTGATCAAGAGTGCGTCGGAGGGAATCACGGCCGGGATGCCCAAGGCGTTGATGCCACAGATCAGCCGAAGAACAGGTACTGGACAGCAGCGCCTGAGCAGATGAAGGCCGGAGGGGATACAACCCGTTGTCGCTGTTACATCGGAGCATCTCTGTCCGGGTGGGAAGATCCTTGATAGAGAAACCGAAAGGATCAAATTCGACGGAAACATTGTTATCTCGAGTGAAAGCACGAACTGAAATCAAATTCTTGACAAGATCCGGAGAAATAAGAATCTGATTGAGATGAAAGGGAGTTCCAGGAAGGGTAGAGGAGGCAATATGAGTGACCGGCATGGATGCACCATTACCAACAGTGATTGGTGCTGAGAAGGGTAGGGCGCGGGCAGAAGAGAGATTACCAGAGCCGGACGCCATGTGCGAAGTGGCGTCAGTGTCGAAGAACCACTCTGACGTTTGAGGCCCGGCAGGCGGAACACTAGCCGTGGCTAGAGCGGCGAGGAGGGCCTGCTGGTTCCACACGTCGTTGGAGGAGGAGGGCGGAGCAGGTGCTGGAGTAGGTGCGTTGGCGAAGTAGGCCTGCTGTGGTGGACCGGGTCGCGGGCCGAGGACGCCAGCGCCAGGAGCGCGGAACGGCATGGGCCACGCCTGGACCATGCCGGTCCACGGGTTGAAGCCCGGGAGCCACGGGGAAGATGGTGGGCGGTTACCAGCAGATGCACCCTGGGAAGGAGGCGCGCCGCCACTACTGCCGCCGGGGAAGTTGTTGCCGCGGCCGCGACGCTTCTTGTTGCCGCGGTTGTCAAAACGCGTGTTAGCGCCCGCGGACGGCTGGCTGGATCGAGGAACGCCGGTGTTGCCGGAACCGCTCGCAGCAGGTCGAGAACTGCCGGCAGCGAGTAGGGCGTGCTGGGCGGCGGATTTGGCGTGTTCCTTATCGTACTGCTCCTCCAGCAGCAGATAGGAACGCGCGGACAGGAAGGTATGTGGAGGGTTCTTGGCGGTGATCACCGGAACAGTGTGCCGGTACTTGGGGGAGAGTCCGCGGAGCATGTTCAGCACCTGAGACGTCTCGCGCACCGGTTGCCCGACGTCGCGCAGTGCGTCGGCAAGACGTTTGAGACGGCCGGTGTACGTCGTGATGTCCATGTCACCCTGGACCAAGCTGCGGAACTCGGCCTCAAGGTAGACGGCTCGATGAAGCTCGTTGTCGCGGAACTGGTTGTGGATCGCGTGCCAGATGGTGTACGCCGTCGCCTTGGGAATGCGCACGATCGCGCGAACGTCCTTGGACACGGTGTTGTAAAGCCAGCTCAGGATGCACTGGTCGACCATGACCCAGTCCGGATCACGGCGGTTGGCGCCGGTGGGAGAAGAAGTGAGGTGAGAGCTGAGACCGAACTTGCCGACGAAGGCGTCGAAGAAGCATCGCCATTCGGTGTAGTTCGACTCGGTGAGATCGAGCTCGACGGGAACGTGGTTTTTGATGTTCACCGTCTGTAGCACAGTGGAGGAAGGAGGCTGGACGACGGTTTTGGTGAAGGAGACACGGCCGCCCGAAGAAGTGGAGGAAGAAGACTCGCCATCAGAGAGATCGGCATCATGCAGGGGATTGGTATCCATGGGAACAGCGGAAGGCGTGAGCGGCGGCGGCGGCGGCGTTTGCTGGGAGGGCAGCGCAGGGGAACAGACCTAAGCAAATGATACCATGATAGAGAAAGCAATGGAGCCAACAGTTCAATCTGTATTGATCTCAGTGTATTTGTACAAGCTACCGGGCAGGCAACTGCCAGCGCGAGGTGCGACTGCAGCCGAGCGCACAGCGAACGTGGGCGACATCGTGGGCTGACGAGCGCGGGAAAAACCTCAGCTAAGCTATGAACTACAAGATACAAATTACACTTTATCAATATCATCTGTCACCTTTGATTTCATCAACTTAAGCAGCCTAGACATAGTACCCGTACATGAATATTATGATATACATACTCGATGTAGTAGTGGCAAGACGAGGTCGCCTTGAAAATACATATACTGCTACGTGTATTAACGCATACGTTAAGAAGCTTTCAAGCAACTACATGCATGTCGACGAAAAGTCAAACAGGATAACCAGACCTGTAGTTAACATTAAATTGGTACTGGCAGGTTACCAACCCAAGTAGCAGCCTCTCTAGTCTCTACTCGAACAAGTCGATTATAAATGTATTTATATAAAATGTCATCTCTCGGCGCACACTATATATAAGGTTGGTTGGAGTTCTTTGGTGCTGCGTATGTACAAACACGGAATGGAATCTCTCTTTTCGCAGAAGTCTTATACATATGCACAATATGGTAGCTAGCTTGCTTGATCCGCAAGACCATACACTACATTACAACTGCAGCAGCAGATGGATCGTAGATTTGGGCCACTGTGGCATGATCATGCCCAGGGTGGGTGGAACACTTTGAACTTGCGCCTGCCTAGAGAAACGTCAGGCCTGGCTCACTCTAGTCGCGATGGCAGAAGCATACTCGGAGATCGTTGGATCAGGTGACTGCCGGAGGTGAACGATGACCGGGAGCAGTTCTGAAGACCGGAGGAAGTTCCTGCAGATGGCGTGGTCACACATCTTGCGCAGGGCGAAGAGCACGATTCTTAGCGGTGATTCAGTGAGAGCATCTCGTCTGCTGGGGCTCAGGGCAACGGTAGAGTAACTGCCGACCATCTTCAGCAGCGCCTGCACAAGAAGAAATTGGAATATAAGAATTATATGTGATGATGCCTTGAAAAAGTTATGCATTTGGCATTAATGTTATCCATCCAATCTTCATAGTACACAAGACAAGCATTTTTTCACAGTTTTTTATTGGCCCACGGTGGGATTAGAAGCCGCTCAATGCAGACAGCAGAGTATGAAAATGAGTAATAATAAGCAAGAACAGACAAACCTGAATTGCGCCTTGGGAGACAATGTCTTCGCAAAGTTTGTCAGAGTTCCTCACTAGATTACTGAGCGCGCCTGCAGCGTTGCCTTTGGTTTTATCCTCCTCAGGACCAAGTAGTAAAGTAGTGAGTTGAGGTATGGACCGTCTCAATTCTTCATACAGCATGTCATTATGATAAGCAGCATTGCCAACCTGACAAGGCAAGAATTGAACATGTAGCTTAATCTGAGTCTTGAAACTGGATAGAGAAAAAACAACTCTTTTAAAGGCATTTTACTGAACTTACAGCAAAACATGCGAACTTTAGGTAGCGCTTGTCAGGATCAGAACACCTGTCAACCACGAGCTGGATCACCTTATTTGCTGCCTGTTACCGGACAACAGCAAAGTTAATATTACTGGCATACAATTTCAGTCTGCAAAGCAATTAAAATATACATATTTCCTTACAAGTGGGCCATAAAAGTAGGAGCTATGGCGGCACATGTTGCCAATGGCACTGCAAGCTTTTGCCCTTATATCAGGGTCTCCATTTGATAAGAAGTTCTTCAAAAATCCAACAAGTCCAGCTTTATCAATGGGTACATAAAAGTCCTGTTGGCCACAAGCAAAATGTATCAGTTTGTATATCCAACAAAGTTTTGACATCAGAATACAGTATATTTACTAGGCATACAAGACATCACAGAGATGACGAGAAATGACAAACCTTTGACATGCGAGCAAGGTCAGAAATAATCATGAGGAAATCAAGCAAAGTCTCCTTTGCTATAGGACCCTCCAGTAATGCTGCTACTCTAATTGGATCTAGAAGACCTTCTTTATGAAGCTGCAAAGCAAGTGGCCTGTAGCCTGCCATTTTGGCCACAATTGCCAAGGGCCTACCTAGATCTTCCATGTTGACATAGTCAAGACAGCGCAGCATACATCCAGGAATGCCAACCTGTACGAGGAGAGAGAAATCACAGAAATGTTCATTGAAAAACAAGAAAAAGTAGAGCCAACTAATCAGACCTCTAGTAGAACTTGAATGTACTGAGGCATGTTTTGCTCTATAGTTTTGAGCATTTCCTTATTCTCAGTACCAATGCGCCCACCAGGTGATGCAACATTAAGCAGGAAGCCACTATTGATGGATGCAGATGCTGACGGCATGTTTGGAGAACTCTGCACTGCAACAAATGGAAATGCCAAGATATCAACAACTGAGTTTATCAGTTCCCGAACTCCCCTCTTCCCACCACCAAGACCCGTCCAGGCTGCCAATGCCTTAAGGTGTGTATCAGACAATAAGTCAGTTAAGAGCTTTAACTGTTCCCTTCTATACAAAATTTCACGGAAAACTCCACCAGGAAAGCATTGAGATAAAGCAGAAAGAGTCCAGATAACTCCCAATGGAGACAACCCACTGCGGTTCGTTGAACTATCTTTCCCGTCAGATATCTCTTTTGAGAAACCATCAGTAAGCAAGCGAATTAGAAGCTGTGGGATGCCAACTGAGCAGGCTTGTTCAATGGCCAATGGTCCGCCCCATTTCAACCTTGTCTCTAGCAGTCCAATACTTCCATCGCGGAGTCCAAAAAGATTCAGAAGACCAGCATTATATCGACAGAGTGCTTCGCTTCCATCAGATAACCAAAGCTTCAGCAGAGTGTGCAGTGTTGCCATACGAGGAAATAAAGCAAGGGCGGTTTCACAAAGAGAAGACCTGGTTTGTCCACCATTTTCAAGAGAAACAAGTGATGAGAGCCCAAGCATTGCTGATGCACAGTGTGGCTGCAGGCAACTCTTCACTGTATCATCAACTGATGAAAGGTGTGCAAGAACTGAGAGACGGGACCGCTGTTTTTTCTGGGAACTTGTTAGGATAACTGATGCTGAAGACTCTCCCTCTGATTTCAAACATGCAGCTATTGTCGCTAATGCAAGGCAGCAGTGCACTACAAGAGCATGAGGGTTGGATAGTTTGCATTTCTGATTGCTATTCTGCTTGGATTCCTTATTTAAATATGATCCACACAGTGACAATAAGGAAAACATATCAGAGACTATTGTTCCATCTCCACCATATTCTACTGCATCAACATCAGATGGTGAATTCCATGGACGACACATAATGGCACAGAAAGACACATTCTGCAGACAGGCCCTTGAGATAAGCTGAAAAGCAACATGTAGATGTAATAAGAATCAATACAATAGAAAGATGTAAAAGTAAGTAAAAAAAACTGCTATATTATTTTATTGCACTTGAAAATTTAGACGCCATCTTATCTATCCAAAGAAATTCTGAAATGAGATTTTTTACAATGTTGCTGCTGAAAGTGCAACTAACCAGAAGAGCCATGCCATGTAACACTGGGAGGTTAAGGCTGAGATAGTATTGATCAAGGCCAGGATTCTGATTCCAAGGTGGCAAGGAGTAACTTCAGCAAGTTCCACGTGCTACCCCACGTGAAATTGTTGATAACATATTTAGTTTAATACATATCCAACTATCAATGCAACAAATTGCAGTTCCAAGATACAAAAATAAAATAAAGATTTTTCCTAATAGTTATTGGTGCAAAAGGATGTTGAGGTAACACCATAAAATCTACAGTTTAGTTTTAGAAGAACACACGATGATACTTAAACCATGCCAGTACAAATACTGAATGGATAAACACAACTCTATCTTTTTAACATTTCACTTGGCCTACAAAAATGATACATACTACCATGGGGAAGAAACATGTTGAAAAACTTATGGCTTCTAGTCAAACAGCATCGGAGAATTACCTGAAGACAAGCATGAATAGCTGATTCTAGACCATTATGCAAGCAGTGGTAAACTGCAACCTGCATTGGTCGTGAGGCGAGAAATGATTTGACAAATATGTTAATCAGATTGGTAGAGTTTGAATCTGCCATTGAACCTTGCTCTTGCATTGAGTGTATTTGTCGCCATGAATTAGCTAAGGGAAATGAAAAATGGTGTGCACCAATGGACATAATGTCAACAGCATGAGCTAGGTACCAAATAGCCTTGCATGCCTCACAAGCAGCAGGTACCATGTTTGTAGAACCTGATATTGTGTCTGAACCCGAAGCTATCAGACATTCACACAAGAGTTCAAGTAGTTGTGACGTCCTCGCATGATCAATGATCTTGAGGAGACTTTCTTCCACTGGCTTCGGGTCTTCAGATGACATGCTTGCCTTCAACCCAGAGATGACCCGAGATAACATCAAAGCAAGGCAGGCAGTTGACTCACGAGATATTCTCCCAGATGGATCCACTGTAGAAACCAGGATCTGCATATCAAAACTCATAATCAAGATAAAGGGGAAACATAACTGACAATAAAACCTGAAGTTGGCATCAAAGTGTTACCTGTGAATAAAGCTCATATAGGGATAACCAATGTCTGTCATAAGATTTTAAAATAACTTCATCACTTGTATCAAGTAGTTTCCGTGCAATTGCCAGGCACTGCCAACAAAAAACATAGTTATACATTGCAAGTTATATCCAAGACATCCCTAATAAAGTAAGAAATAATTTTCTCTTTCCAAAGAGAAGAGACGCTGCTTTCATTTGATTTGCTACTTTACTTGGATGTTGCAATATTTTTTATTGTGAACAAAAAAAAACACAGAATTACTGCCAAAAGTACCTTCACCACAAGTCCATAAGCATTTGAAAGCTTAGTTTTGATAATGAGATTTGTAAACTCAAGAAGCAAGCTTATGTCAATTGCCGCATAAGATTGGCATGACCCGGCATCAATTAAATTTTTAATAATTCTGAGTGACTGATTTGCTCCATCAATATTCAATTCCCTGTAAAAGTTGAAGCAAGCATAGGTTGAAGTTAGAGACAAGGCTTGACGAAACCAGAAGAAAAACTTCTGCTGAGTGGACGCTATACAGTTGTGTGGAGCAATGTTCCCATTCACATATTTTTTTGAGCAGAAAATACAGCAGGGGAGGCCCCCACTGTAGATATTATATTAAACAAAAACAAAGACTGTACAAAGAAGCCTCAGAAGAGAGGCAAAAAAAAACCAAAAACCAAACCCAAGACAAAAAAACTATACTAAGGCATCTATACACAACAGGTATTCTGGGCGCTTTTGCTCACTAAATCTGTGTGCCTGAAGATTAGCCTCTTCAAAGAAGGAACTTTTCCAGGAATCAAAAGACGGACGACCTCTATCAAAGATGAAATTATTTCTTTGCTTCCAGATTTGCCAAGCAGCTATGATGAATATCTCCATAAAGACCATTCACATATTATATCTGTTATCACGCCTTTATACAGCCCAAATGTTTTTTAGATAAGAAATTACTACTGAACTGATGTAAAATTAGTAGAGTGAATACATGATACTATGATAGTGATACAGGGGAAATTCTAGAATTACTCTAGTACCCATGACTACTATACCCTTAACAATACACTAAAGGATATACACCATGCATTGCAACCACGTTAATCTGCAATGACCATTTTTCCTTCATGTTTTCACTTTTCAGAAGATGAGAGCATCTGATCTGAACAGTTCACAAGGACTGGAAAAGCAATGAATCTACCTGGGTGGACTTGGAGCATTAGTAAGCCAAATTTTGATAGGGCTGAGAATGGTTGACAGTGCTTCATTATCTTCAACAATGCTGTTTGCACCTTCTACTGTTTGTGAGGCTTTTTCCAGTTTATCCAAAGCAGTACACTCTGCAATGAAGTATTCAGAAAGATCACCTACTGTGTACTTTCAGGGAAGAAACCTGACTGTTATGATCAACACCACTGCCCAAATATACTACCAGAAGTCAGAATTTGGATATTAACTTGCCTGCGGGAGAGCAGCTTTCAGGAACAGCACCAGTAGGTGAACCATGATGGTCCTGAGTTACTTGCATAGGGCCATCCAATTTTCTGTTACCTTTGGGTTTATCGGAATCATTATCCCTATTGGTAGTAGCAGTTCTACCTGACAAACATTAAAATCAGTTCAAGATATAGAACTTATGGGAAAATCCCTAAGAAAAAGGATATAAGTTTACTATTTAAATTGCCTACTTTGGGGGCAGCTGGGGAAGGTTGGTTCCTTGATGTTTGTGTTTCTTCTGCTTTCCTAGTACCTTCAGACCCTCTAGCTTCAAAAGGTGCAGGTCGAGACTCCTGAGTAATTTATGTGGTATTCAAGGCACTGATATCTTCAAAGACTAGGATTCCATAATTTACTTGAGCGCCAGAATTAATGATACTTACAGCTGCCGGTCCCATTGAATCATCTTTGACAAATGGGTGCTCCAACAATGCTGGCCAGGTTAATCTACTTTGAGGCACCTATTACATACCACACAGCATTAGAAAAGAAAAGGCACAGATGAACTCATTAGATGGATTTGAGGGGCAATGCCAGTTATGAGTTTATGACCTTGTTGAGTAAACCCTTCAGGAAGCTCTTAAAGTTTAACGCTCATATTATCTGGATATTTTACAGGATCCTAGCAAATCGATGAAATCATATAAATCAGTTCCGACAATTAAAAAATTCAAGGATAACGAATAAAATAACTAAATAAGCCTGGTAACCTTGACAATGTGCCGGATAAGTGCATAGACCGAATTTGTATAAAAAGGGGGCTGTCCAACAAACAGTTCATACCTGGTCAACCAAACAATAAATTTAGCTTGATAGATAGATTATCAAACACAAAGTAGAGTAGATGGCACCAAGTTGAACCATGTGCCAAAGGCCAGCAGTATATTAAGATTACAACTGCACAAAAGGAATGTGATACAATAGCATCTAGAATGTACTAGTATGAGAAGATTGCAAAAGTAACCAGGTCTAGATAGGAAAGCGAAGATGTACATACAAGATGACACCAAGGGACCATAAATCTGCTGTGTGGTTATACGGCTGTTCCCTCACCAGTTCTGGAGCCATATATAAAGGCGTCCCTGCATAGGAAAAGCAAGCCTAGTGAAATGAAAGTTTGGCAAACGGAGCTCATCACAATATGTCCGTAAGATCAAGCAATATCAATAGAGCATATGCCTCAATGAGCTACAAATATGCAATAAGGACCAGCACAATTCAAAGGAGACAATTCCATATAATGAAATACAGTGTACAGCTACTTGTCTTGGAATGTAGTTTGAGATAAACTGACTGAAAAAAAAACTCCAAAATTTGAAGAAAACACAGAAAGAGTTTAGATTCATAAATGAACAATGCAACGAAATTATACAGATTTAAGAAAGATGACAAATATAACAGTACAGCTTAAATGCTTAATCACATGATCATTAGAGTTTGGTAATTGCTATCACGTTAGTTTAGCGAATCAGAGTATCAGAATGTAGTAGATCTACCAACAGGTAAGATGTGGCTAACAGAAGGCTTTCTATGATCCAGAGATCTGTGATTGATTATGAAATGAAGTATTCAAATTGGCACATACATACTTTACCTACAGGCTACAAGACATGGAAATTATTTGTTAAAATTTCAGCTACCAGTGAAGATGAAAAATAGATACCTTTAATGGAGCGTAATACAACTGTGTTAGCTGACATAGCACGAGCAAACCCGAAGTCACAAAGCTGTAAATAGGCAAGAAACAATGTAAATGGAATTTCAACCATTGTAGCACAATGGATAAGAATCACAACTTGAAGACATAAACAACAGTGGATAAGTGAACATTAAAGGCAAGAATCAAGGCCGTCGGGATGAAAGCTCGTTCTAATAAAATGATTAGCCACATGTAGCCGCCATCATACTATACTATAAGAAACTTAACAGAAAACTGAAACATATCAGATGGAATCGATAAAGTGCATTGAATCATGAAAAATAGGATTGTGTGTACATTATATGCATATACAGTTGCATAGATGTAGCAACTAACAGACAATTCGACAATGGAGATATGTTACCTTCAAACGTCTACTGTACATTGTACACTAAACAAAAACTTATGAGGATCACCTAATCAAAACTTCAGGATTCATGAATGAAAAAAAAAATGACAAGACATTGACAGATTATGCATGCCAACATGGAACAGAGATTACCTTTACAATAGATCCTTTCCCGATAAGGATGTTCTGAGGTTTCATATCCCGGTGAATAATTCTATTGGAATGCAAGTAATACAATGCTTTCACCTGAAATGAAATGTGCTGTAACCATGAAGGGAACTCGGCCAAAACAACTGGACTGCTATGGTGCGGGAAGAACTCAGAAACCAGAGTGAAGCGCATACCAGCTGCTTAGCAATTGCCTGAACTTGTTCTTCTGGAAGGCATTTATCATCCTCAAGCACCTCAAACAGTTCTCCCTGAGACAAGCATTTCCACTGAAGTTAGCCAGCTCCAAACAATTGAAACTAGTCAAAGATGAGAAAGGACAAGGTACTCAAACTGAGTTCTTGTGTACCTGAGCAAACTCTGTGACAACGCAAAACTCCTGAGGGGTTTCAAAGGCATCGATCATTTCAATTATGTTCTCATGTTTGAGTTTCCTTAGGATCTACAGAATTGTGTATGACAGCAAGCAGTGATTATAATGAGAAAAGAAACACCATTGCTTAATGCTAATTTGCTATGTACTACAGTTGCAAGCACAGCCGAATTGCTGCGACCACCACACCAGAACTATAGTTTTCATGGCCACTCCCAATTCTTTGTTTAACAACAAAATACCCAAATCCGAAGTACATGTAGAAGAAAATAGAAATGGTTTACCTCAATCTCCTGCCTAAGGTTGTGTATATCCTTATCGGTCTTCCCGTGCTTAAGAATGAACTTCATGGCGACCGTCTGAATAGGAAGCAAAACAGGAGAAAACAACCTCTATGAAATCCAAATGCACACAAAGGAGTTTATCTAATCATCAGATGGGCCCAAATCCAACGGGTCCAGCACACTGGAGGAGCGGGGCACGCTGACCTGGCGAGTGTACTTGCGCCTGCCCTTGTAAACCTTGCCGAAGGAGCCCTCCCCGACGAGGTCGATGACATGGTAATCCTCTATCCCCATCTCGTGCCCAGCAGGCGCGATAATCTTTGCAAAAATCGAAGTTAGTCGGCAGAAGATGCTTGTAAATAGATCAGATCCGATTACAACTAGCCGTTAGGGTTTGGATGCTCGGTTTCGCACAGCAGGAAGGGGAGAAAAGGCGGCGGGCGTACCTGGTGGGTGCTCGTCGCCGGCGAAAGTCCAGACGAAGGCCCGGGCACCTGGCGTAGGGCGGTGGCGGCGGTCGCCCACTCGGTTTTTTTGAAATTTTGCCCGCTCCTCAGTCGTCGCCACTCGCGGAGAGAGAGAGAGAGGCTGAGTGAAACAGAGAGAGACAAGCGAGCACGCGGCGGAGTGAACGGGAGAAGAAAATTTGAACAACGGTTAATTCTAGTTCAACAAGAACTGGGCTTGGAGTCGAACTAAAGCCCAATAAGGCTTGCCCATTCTAACTGGACAGCCCAGCCCAGACCATCTTTGCAAAGATCACAGGCACCGTGTCCGTGAGTCCCGACCGCAAAATTCAAATTCAAATCAGTTCAAGCTACGAACCATTTCAATGGCGACCTGTTCTTCCCCACCCCTTCCCCCCAAACCCTAGCACCCCCGATCCAGCAGCCGCCCCTCCATTGCGAGCTCCAAATCTTCTCGGAGATGGCGGCGCCGGCGCCGATGCAGCTCAAGGTGCGGGTCCCACAGAACGAGGAGGTCGCTCGCGCTGCCCACGAGAAGCGGCTGTCGATGAGGGAGCAGCCGGCCGGTTTCAAGGAGCACCTGGACCGCACGTTCGCCAAAGCCTACCGCAATGTCTGCGCCGCCAATGAGCCCATCCGGACTCTCAAGGAGTTCTCTAAGATCAAGTACCAATTCTTTCCTCCTACTTCCCCAACCCTTTCTTTTTGTCCGTTGCTGAGTGAATGCTGCATTGAGACAGGAGTTTGATTGAATTTTTTGTGCGGTTATTGTTGGTGGAATTGAGATTCTCTTATTTGAGCTGTAGTTAGACAGGAACCGGATCTAATAAGCTGTGGTTTCAGTAACATTTCAGGATTTCTGTGGTTAGCTTACTTTCATATCTTGGGCTAATATCAGAAATTTGTGTTTGCATTGCTAATCAATTCTGTAGCTTTTGTTAACCTACAAGCCACAATGTGCATTATGATTCTACATACATATATTTGTTATAAACTCCTTTTTTTCGTGAAAGAAATATGGTACGTGCTATTTGGTAATACAGTTCTGGACTTTTTGAATAATTTTGATTTACATAGCTGGATGTTTCTAATATTCTCTCACTGTTTACAGTGGTGTGGGACCATGGCTAATACGTTGTATGAAAGGCTTCTTTCCAGAGTCCAAACAGGATTCTCCAACGAAAGGTAATGTAGCAGGAGAGTATGATAACCGTTTTCATGCTTAACTGGGTGCCGTTTGGAAAGCCTTTCTTGCCTTTTCCTTTAGGCACCAATTTTCTCTTCTGTAGAATATGAAATGGTTTTGTTTATTTTAACAGGAAAGAAAACAAGAGTACCAAAGTGCCCTAAGCCAAAGAAGAACACTGCTGCTGCTGCTGCTTCTCTTGGTAGCATTATGTTTGCTATTTCAATAATATCCATAAAAAAGCATTATACTTTTTGATTAATTCCAATACTTCTTTTGAAGGCAAGGGACCTCCTCCTAACTTAAATTGTCAGAATGTTCAGTTTACTCCTCCATTTTCATCCCAAGGAACATTGGACCTGCAATCGTCTGGTAAAACGGTATGTTTTGACTTTTCTATGGATAAACCATGTGCTGCAGTGCTGTACAGTACTGTACCTTTTAGAATTTTCAATCAGAATAAACTGATTTTTTTTGTCCCAGGGTTCTTCTGACTTCAATATGCTAGACAAGGATGTTGTATCAATAGACAATTGTATACTGGCTATGCCACCTCGTCAATCAAGTGAAGAGTTTCTTGAAGCTTACGAGGTTGTTCTGATATTGGATGATTCTTGAGAATTTCGGGTTTGTATGACCGTATCCTACTCATATAAGCATTATATTTGTCTTACATTTTTGCATAGGTATTCCTCAAGAAAAGTTGCTTCAAAAAAGGTTGCTGATAACATTGGTTCGCAGTTTAAAGTACCTGTAGAGGTTAGTTATTAACTGACTCTGATTAAATTTTTCGTGGCCTAAAATCCTACGTACTGTTTCCTAAGTTCATAAAATTGTGGGGAACCTTGCAACTTGTATGATTGTAATTTGCTTATAAATATCTTGAACACAAGCCTGTTGGTGATGTACCTGTTAGATAATCTACTGCTACCTTGCGTGAACACAGCAAGAGGAAGACGGCACCGAAAAGGCCCCCTCTTTGTGATCTCAGAGCAATAGCTGCGGTGCGAGCGCCCGACTCGCTCATCTTCAAAGACTCAGAGGCACATGCAGGAGGCGCCGCAGAATCAACCTCAGATGTTATCTAGTCATTTATTCAAAGTTGAGGCAACCCAGACCGGGACTAGATGGATAGAGTTGTATAAATAGACTACCACGGCAACTCAGTAAAGAGAGATCAGATTTGCCATCTCCCAGACAGGGCTTCGGCCAACGCTGGTGTCTTGTACTGTGTGTGCATGCTCTGTTCTCCTTTCTTCTAGCTCTAGTCATAGTGTGTGGGGACGGACAACGCTTATTCGTGGTCGGCACGGCTAGTGGGTGCACGGCAACACTAGCGGGTGCTCGGCAAGACTGGTGAGTGGTTCACTCACCTCAGCCGGTGATCCTATGAGCCAACAAGTGGTATCGGAGCCGTACAAGCGCCGTCGCCAGACTAACCGCTGGCGATGACGGGCGGTTCAGAGATGGGCGACAATGATGCTGCCTTCTTTGTGGTGCTTGACCACCGCATCGAAGGTCGTTGTTACACGACGGCAAGGGAGGTCACGGCACCAGCTTGACCGATCTTGACTCGCACCAACTATAGAGAGTGGTCGGTGACCATGAAGGTCAAGCTTCGAGCCCGGCGGCTCTAGAATGTCTGTTGATAAGGGCACCGACAATAAAGAAGATGACATGTCGGCGTTGGAGACTATCCTCGCCATCGCATCTGGCGTAATCTGAGGAGCCGTTAGGCGAAGAGCTCGGCTAAGGAGGCGTGGGAGGCTATTGCGGCGTCTGCGTCGGTTTCGCCGGTTCGACCACAAGAAGAAGAAGGCGACGCCCGGCTTTCAAGCGAGAGCACGTCAACCTCAAGTTCAAGGATGGTAAAAGCGGTGGAGGACTTCTCCTTCGCTGCAGACGCCATCGCCTAAGTCAAGAGCCACGCGGCGTCACCATCGACGAAGAGGAGGCGGTCTCCAAGTACCTCCACTGCGTCTTAAGCAAAAGTACATCCAGATCGTTCTCTCCATAGAGACGATCTTGGACTTGTCCACCCTCGCCATTGAGGATGTGACAGTCGTCTATGGGCGGTGGATTTAGCGCTGGAGCAAAGCGGCGAAGAACGAAGATAGCGGAAACTCCTGGCGGCGGAAGAGGAGTGGGCTGCTCGGAGAAACTCCGGAAGGCAACCTCCTCCAGCGCGGTGGCGATGGCGGCAAGCGCCACGCAAGGCTTCTTCAAGAAGAAGAAGTGAAACGACCGCAACGCCACGGCGTTGCGGGAAGATGGGCCATTGGGCACGGGAATGCCCAAATCGCAAGCAGGAAAAGAAGGCTCAGGCTCATCTGGCGCAAGCTGATGATGAGGATGATGCCACTATCTCGATGATGACGTTCGTACCTCGCACGCACGCCGAGGCCGAGGGAGAGGGAGGAGGCGACGACGGTGGAAGGACCTAGGAAGGCCTGCACCGTCAACCTCGACGAACCACGCGCCCAAGTCCAACTTCGGACGTAAGCGCCGACCAGAGCAGCGGCGGTGGTATCTGGACTCTGGTGCCAGTAACCACATGACGGGCTCCAAGGCATCCTTCTCCGAGCTCGACGATGATGTTACCGGTACGGTGAAGTTTGGTGACAGCTCAAGGGCGGCTATCCAAGGACGCGGCACCATCATCTTCAGGTGCTAGAACGGGGAGCACCGCGCGCTAACGGATGTATATTACATCATGCAGCTGCGTTCCAGCATCATCAGCATTGGTCAGCTAGATGAGCGCGGTAGCGAGGTACTGATCAAGGACGGAGTCCTTAGGATCAGGGACCGGGAGCAGCGACTTCTCGCCAAGGTGAAGAGGTCCCTGAAACGGTTGTACCTGCTCGACCTGTTAGATAATCTACTGCTACCTTGTGTGAACACAGCAAGGGAAAGGCGGCGCCGAAAAGGCCCCTCGCCAGGATATCAGTAGGCGCTGCAGTGCAGCGGTAGCGCCAACTGCTCACCTGCAAAGACCAGAGGGCACATACTGAGGCCCATGCAGTAGAGTCAATCATATATGTTATCTAGTCATCACATAGGCAGAGGTAGTGTCTTTGAGACTAGATGGATAGAGTTGTATAAATAGACTACCACGGCAACTCAGTAAAGAGAGTTTAGATTTGTCATCTCCTACACAGGGTTGTGCATGCTCTGTTCTCTCTTCTTCTTCTAGCTCTAGCCATAGTGTGTGGGGACGGACAACACTTGTTCGTGGTCGGCACGGCTAGTAGGTGCACGGCAACACTAGCGGGTGCTCGGCAAGACTGGTGAGTGGTTCACTCACCTTAGCCGGTGATCCTGTGGGTCAACAGTACCAAATGTGTTTGTTCTTTTTTAACATATATAAAAAGAAGGGTTATGATGCTTATATTGATCATTTTGTGTTGTGTTCCACAGAAAGTGATTATTCTTCTTTTGTTTGAACCTTGTCATCCAGGTTAAACGTTTTCCTATAGATGATGGCATTTGGATCGCTCGTCATAAAAAATTTCTAACAGAGTATGTTCTAGATTTCATTGTTGAAAGGAAAAATGTTGCAGATTTAGGTAGCTCAATTAGAGACAATCGATACAAAGATCAGAAAACAAGGTTGCATGTACTATATGGACTTGCATTGACTACTTGTTATTGTTATAGACCTTGAATGTCATTTCCCTCTTCTCTGTACCTTCATTTTAAATTGTTAAATATTCCATGTCTATGTTGTTACTTGTTTCTTGTGATGACCCCATTCGGTAGTTGAGTCTGGAAGCTAATCATTAAAAAAACTTTAACTTAAAAAAAACTCGACTTGCGGGGGTAAGCCACCCTCGGGCATTGCTGTAAGAGAGAAGACCATCTCACACAGGCCGAGAAAACCCCCTAACCCCTGCCCCACCCTGACATAGGGGCACCGTTGCCCTGTGAGAACCGGGCCGGGCCTTTGACCTGCGCTTTTGCCGTGGGACAGACGAGATGAATTTTTTAACCCCGACCTAAAATTTGCTCCCATGGGGAGTCGAACTTAGGACCTGAGAAGTGCCGCCGAGGCCACCTAACCAGTTCAGTTAGGCACCCTTTGGCAAAAAACTTTAACTTTTTGTTGCTATTGTTTTTCATTTGCTAGCGATTCACCTATGCAGCAATGAAATTGATGGTTAATATAATGTGTGTGTTTAGCATCATTATCATTGTGGCAAATGTAGTAGTCTGTCAAAGAATTCTGTGTAACTTATTTTGCATGTCATGGTACTATCGTAGGTAATGCTGCTATTAAAATGGACGTTTTTTTTTTAACTTTTGCTATGGTAGATGATGTGTAGAGAAATGCTAAAAATGAGGAGATGAAAGGGTATTTTGTCCCTTGGAGCAATGTATTTGGTCTAGCTTTCCTTGTGCTCTCTCTAATACAATGATGTACAACTCTCCTCCAATTCGAGAAAAAAGATGATAAAGGGCATGAGAAAACATATGCTTGGTTCTATAGATTGCTCTGCTTCTGGACAAAATGTTTTGTTGTCCTTATTTATTGGAGAAATAATATGATGAGATGCGTTCATTTGTTGTGCCTTGTAGAAATGCGGTTAAAGAAGCTCATATATCTTGTTGAAGGTGATCCAAACACTTCAAAAGGATCAGCAACAAGCATCAAAACAACGATACAAACACCGCTCATTTCACGTGAATTTATAATGTTAAATATTTCATATTACATGAATTATTTAAGAAAGCATATATGTGACCTTTTAGTCTGTGCCATGTCGTTTATTTTCAAATGCTTCACCACTAAGATTTTCAAGGATTTGATGTTATCCATACCAAAGGGTATACTTGATACCATGAGAACATATGGTTATCTTACACTCTCAAGAATTGATTACTACAAAGACGAATTTCCACAGTCTTGCTAAAAGTGCATGTATATGCCCAACCTATGATGAGTTTGAGAGATGATGTCGCTGCCTTTGCCTTGAGAAAAAAAAGGAGCCAAATATTTGCAAATCGCAACTTATGCATGTTACATGTCAATATAAGCCCTCTTCTTACAAAAGTTAGCCGATGCTTTATGTGATGTCATAGTTGAATATGAGATATTATCCTCATCGAATACACATGCAATGCAATGCAAAAAAAGCCACAAGTAACAGAGAAAGTTGCATTAACTATTATAGAGTTCTATCCAACTCTTTTCTCACTCGCAAGGGCGTACTCCATGCTTGTCAGTCTTCTCTACTTCTAATTTTCATTTTACTTTTCAAGTTACGACACTTACTCATTGTCATAACACTTGTGCATTGACATTTATGTGAGCTAAAATTTTACCTTTATGATTTTGAAGGAAAGTGATATCCATGCCCAAGAGGAGATGTTGAAGAACAAGAGCAAGATGATAAATGCAGGGGCTAGTAGAAACATCTTCAAGCTTGTCTGGGGTGATGGATGTCAATCTTCAGGGCTCATTTTAGACTAGCCGATTTAATTGAGTATATCACCGCCTTGGTGATCTCGAGCCATATTTTTGTGTGGTTCACTAGCCCCTTATGCTCAGATATTCAATTGCAAGGCTTTCGTATTCTAAAGGCAAATGGTCCAATTGAACACTGACCGTTTTGGAGCAT